CTAATAACCAAGTCGGCTACCAAGTGACTAACCGGTGGGTAGTGTATCCAGCACGGATATGCTAGACAAAGAGATGATTCACATCCTGGGTGAAATGAAGCAGGCTGGCCAGAGATTTCATCACATTACTTAGAAGAGTACATAATTTAAACCTTATTGTTTATTCCTGGAATTTTCCATTTAATACTTTCAGACCATGATTAACCACAGGTAACTGAAACTTCAGAAGGTAAAATGATGGATAAGGGAAAATACCGTACTCCCTAGAAAGTTCCTACCAAGGCCGGGCGCGGTGGCTCACGCCTGTAATCCCAGCACTTTGGGACGCCAAGGCGGATGGATCACCTGAGGTTGGGAGTTCAAGACCAGCCTGACCAACATGGAAAAACCCCGTCGCTACTAAAAATACAAAATTAGCCGGGCCTGGTGGCACATGCCTGTAATCCCAGCTACTTGGGAGGCTGAGGCAGGAAAGTCACTTGAACCCGGGAGGCGGAGGTTGCAGTGAGCCGAGATTATGCCACTGCACTCCAACCTCAGCAACAAGAGCAAAACTCCATCTCAAAACAAACAAACAAACAAAAAAAGTTCTTACCTCTTTTTTAGCTGGAGAACTTTTGGTTTTCTTAGGAGTTTTTGTCTCTCCTTTCAATTCAACGGCATTTTCTTTTCTTTTTGAGGCCACGGACTCTGTTTCTTTATAAGCGCTCTCTTCTTTTCTTTTCATAATTGCCAGCTTAGAACTGGCCTTGGGAGAAGAGACTTCTCCTATTTTGTCAGCTGATGACTTGGAATGCTGCTGAGGTTCTTTTGAACTTTCATATTTAGTTTGCTTCCTAGGACTGTAGCTCTTTCTTTCATCTGAAAATTGTTCTGTTTTTACTAGGAAGAAAGAAAAGATTATGATTGTTGTTTTTGGAAAATGATAACCTTTATCAACTTTTCTTTCGTTTTTCAACTGAGTAATCTTAGCACAGAATATACCCTGAAGGCCCAAAGTCCTAAAGTGTCAAGACCATCTGTTTATAGTAAATTTATAAATACATGTACTTATAGGACTAAGATCATCTAGACTAGCAGACGATTTGCTATCAGGACCACCGAAGAATAAAACCTACAGGCAGTAAGCAAGAGAGCTGAAGATGACCTGGCCAACTATGAGTCAACTCTGAGACTACCTCTGACATGAAAAGCTCAAAACATCTAGTTCTTCATCTTTATATGCTGAAGTCCACATATCGCACTATACTTGGAAATTAACAAGAAACCTGGAGTTGTAATACATTTCTCACAGTAATCATAGAGCAGATGGGCATTCTGTACCAGCTAGCATCCAAAGAGCTTTCAAAGTATCTAAGCTGAATGTGCTCTAATAGTCCTACGAAATAATGTCTACCTAACAATACATAATTATTCAATAGAATATTTAAACAAGATTATCATGAATTTACTTCCATGAAGAGAAGTGCTCCATCTTACTTTTTTCTGCTAGTATTACCTTTATGAGGATATTTACGTTTTTCTGCTTTATTTAAATTGGCTTGGACAGATGAAAATGTTTCTCCCTCTTCTGTGTCCTTTCGAGCCTAAACAAATTTTAAAAGTGTCAAATGTAACAAATAATAGAAAAACTATTACCATAAAATCTGTTGTTAAAATCCTTAAAATTTTAAGTTTAAGGGTCACCTTTCAACTAGCAGGACACTACAATAAACTGTCATTCATTCATCCACAAAATTTCCAAGGCAAATGAGGCATGTTTTATTACTTCATGTTACAAATGAGGAAACAGATGAAAGGGTATAAAAATCCATCTATAAAAATTATCCCTCTTCATTCCAACCTGTAAATCTGGAAGTAGAAGCCTTATTTCTGCTTCCTTTATCTCAACTCTCAAACTGTTAGTATTAAGCAGTTAAAAACTAAAATCTAAACTTAAAAGACTGAAATAAAAATAAACAAAAGCTTGAAAGCAAAATGAGAGCACTTTCTGAAAGAGAAAAAAATATATCCATTCTTTTCACTGCTCCTTCAAAACTCCATTTTATAAAAAGTTCACAAATCGAGGTGTGTGATACAGTCTTTTAAAGTAATTACAATTTGACTGTCTTCAGATGAAGTAAGACTTTTCAAATGAGAAAGTCTCTGCCACTCCCTGCTGTCTTAATACCTGCCCGCTTAGTCTCAGCTCCTGATGTATCTAGGTTACAACTCCCTGCTTTAAAAAAAAGAAGTAAAATCTTTTGAAGTAGTCACATATTGACACTGACAATTATATTAATAGAATGTGATTCATCAGAAATAAAGTTAATCTACTGGAGATAAATAAAAAATAAAAACAAAATAAAGTCTTGACGTTTTAAAGATTCCCCAAAATAAGGCTGAGGCAGGCAGATCACTTGAGCTCAGGAGTTCCAAACCAGCTTGGGCAACATGGCAAAACTCCATCTCTACAAAAAACAAAAATATTAGCTGGGTGTGGTGACACACGCCTGTAGTCTCAGCTACTTGGAGGGCTGTGGTGAGGGGATCAATTGAGCCCAAGAAGTCAAGGTTGCAGTGAGCTGAGATAGCACCACTGCACTCCAGCGTGAGTGACAAAGTGAGACCTTGCCAAAAAAAAAAAAAGAAAGAAAGAAAGAAAAAGATTCCTCAACCTCAAAATATACTCTTTATTATATGAGACTGCCATAATACAGATTTTAGAGTTAACTGATTAGAACTGACAAAACTGTGCTTCCTGAAAAGACAGTGATTAATATTAAAATTATTAAACTGGTGTTCCAAAGAAATTTTTATGAGCATTATTTTCTGAACAAGTACATACAAACTCCTATGATAAAGAGTAAGGAAAAGGTAAACTGGGCGCAGAGGCTTATGCCTGTAATCCCAACACTTTGGGAGACTGAGGTAGGAAGATTGCTTGAGCTCATGAGTTCGAGGCTTCAGTGTGCTATGAACGTGCCAGTGTAATCCAGCCTGGGCAACAGAGACCTTGTCTCTTAAAAAAAAAAAAAAAAAAAAAAAAAGAACTAAAAGGCCAGGCACGGTAGCTCACATCTATAATCTTAGCACTTTGAGAGGCTGAGGCAAGAGAATCGCTTGAACTCTGGAGTTCAAGACCAGCCTGGCCAACGTAACAAAGCCCATCTCTAAAAAACATACAAAAATTAGATGGGTGTGGTGGCACATGCCTATAGTCTCAGCTACTCAAGAGGCTGAGGCAGGAGGATCACTTGAGCTCTGGAGGCAAAAGTTGCACTGAGCCCAGATCACACCCGGCTGCACTCCAGCAGAGACCCTGTCTCTAAAATAAATAAAATAAAATAAAATAAAGTAAAATATAAAAAAAGAAAAAGGAAAAGATCTAATTCTTTGTTTTGTGATAAAAGGTTCTGGTTTGCTTTGACGCTGTCACCCTTCTTTTAGGAAGAATAAGTTTCTCAATGAGCTTCCCCAAAAACATTTTTATAAATCAAAATAATTTAACTTCTTTCTGGAAAAGTTATTCACGTTTTGGCTAGAGCCTAGAACACGCAAGTATGAACACTGATCCGTACGGTATATTCAGAATGCAAACAGCCCAACATTATGCCACCTTTTTGGTCTTGGGTTCTTCATCCAACATGGCTAATGTTCTGGCAAACTCTTCATCTTCATGCAACTGCCTCTCCAGCTGTAAAATGTGTCAGCAAAGTGAGTTGAGTTGCTCTTTTTCTTTTTGTAAATAAAAGTTTTCAATGTCAGATTCATATATTTAGAAGAAACTAGAAAAACATTTTCCAGAAAATAATTACGACATTTTCCCACCCAACATTAACAGTCAAGTATCACGGGTTTGTTTCACTATAGCTGAATCAGATTTTGGAACACACAGTTCTGGTTTTGCAGGGATGACAGATAAAGTGAGCATATTTTTAAAGTCATATTTCTTACTTATAAAACATTAGGTCTATACTTTTCTCTTAATGGTCCTTATGGAACACAGCTTTCTTGTTTCTATTTATTGTCTAAAAAAACCTCTGAAAGGACTCTCAACCTAATAGGAAAACACAATCATCTGGGGAGCACAAAAATAGTGAATCTAACAATTTAAGAAAATTATACAGTTTTTTTTTGCACATATAGTAAGCTATATATAAATGTAAAATCACTTTTACTATCAAACTCCTATTTTCAATTACTAATTCAAATGCATCTGTTCTCTTTTGAAAATTTAAGTCATCATGTCAGGAGTTCTAACATGCTAATATAACACACGACATTCTAGTTATCTCAGTTATTTCGAAATACTTTCACTTCCAGCAACATGGAGCTCTTCCAAAAGAGACTATGTAGCAGTGGAATATCTTTCTCATTATAAACCAAATGGCTGTATACCCCCTGGTAAAATGGCCTTATGTGATATTCAATAAAAAACACCATACATTATTCAAACAAAGAAAAGGACTTCAAAATCCACTCAATCTTTTAAAAGAGAAAAAAGAAGGGAGGAAAAACTCTTAGAGGGATAATTAGGAAAGACATCTTTTCAGGCATTAACACCTAAAAGTCCTTAATCAGATTAATAAATTACCCAAACAAGATTCTGGAAGAATGTGATAAAAATGGAAAAATAGGGGATTATGATACAAAGTACCACACCTGGTTTGGAAAGGATTAGGTAACCCTCTAGTATTTGGATCAGATAAGGAGAAATCAGGTTCCTAAAAATTACTTCCTAGTTTGACCTAGGCTACTTGTACTACCTTGAGTCATGTGGATACTTGTTTGTAGTTTGTGTGATTCAGTGTGATCAAATAAGATAGAAAAATATTTTGAAAACACAAACTATAAACTGCCGAAGTAATAAAAAGTGAACAATCACAAACAATATTGTTCTCTCACAATAATACTTATGAAGAGCCCATTGTATGCCAGACACTAAGATAAGCACTGATGTAACAATGGTTGAGTGAGAGACATAAACAGTCCTGGTGAGGGGACCTCAGAGCCTATACTTTAATAGTAGCTATGACAGCGTGATAGAGTATTATCGGAGGGGTTTCTAATATAGTTAAGGTAGTTTGGAAAGTGACACTTAAGCTAAACCAGAGGAAGGGAGTTCAAACAGCCGGCAGCTAAGCCTGGAACCTCTGACAGAGATGGGCGCTCCTCCCTGAAATACTTCTGTAAGATATCAACCCCTCCTGTTGTTCCTACTTCACTAGCCACTCTCTCCTCTCCTTTGCTGGATCATCCTCCTTTTCCTGACCTCTAAATGTTAACAGTGGCCCAGGGCTCAATCCTGAGACCTTTTTTTTTCTATTTGCATTATCTCCCCAAGATCTCACCCAGTTACACAGGTTTAAATATTACTCAACTGGTAATGATTTCCAAATGTCCATCTTCAGTTTAGACTTCTCCCCTGAGTTCCTGACTCTTCTACCCAACCGCCTACTCTGCATTTCCATTTGGAAGTCTATTAGACATCTCAAACTTAACTTGTCCAAAAGATTTATCTGTACCAAACCTATTCTGCTTCCCGTGTTCCAGCCTTAGCAAATCATATCACCATTCACCCAGTTGTTAAGGCCATAACTGAATATTTTTTTCCCAGAGACAAGGTATTGCTCTGTCACCCAGGCTAGAGTACATTGGCACAATCACAGCTCATTGCAGCCTGAACCTCCCAGGTTTAAGCAATCCTCCCACCTCTGCCTCCCAAGTATCTGGGACCACAGGTGTGTACCACCGTGCCCAGCTAATTTTTGTATTTTTGGTAGAGATGGGATTTCCCTGTGTTACCCAGACTGGTCTTGAACTCCCAGGCTCAAGTGGTCCTCCCACCTCGGCCGCCCGAAGTGCTGGGATTACAGGTGTGAGCCACCACGCCCAGCCTCATCTGTGAATCTTCTTCCCTCACACCTTACATCCCATCTGTCAAAAACAACTTGTACCTTTCAAGGTACATTCAGATTACGACCACTTCTCACTGCCTCTTCCTATTACAAGCTGACATCTCTCGCCTACCATTCAGTCTGCAAACTGATCTGCTTTCAATCTTGCCCCCACCATGAACTATTAACATCATTGAGCCAAAATAATTTTCTTTTAAGATCCATCAAGTCATGTCACTTCTCTATTCAAAACTCCAATGGGGCTGGGCGTGGTGGCTCACACCTGTAATCCAACACTTTGGGAGACTGAGGAGGGCACATCACTTGAGGTTAGGAGTTTGAGACCAGCCTGGCCAACATGGTGAAACCCCATCTCTACTAAAACTACATAAATTAGCCAGGCGTAGTGGTGGGCACCTGTAGCCTCAGTTACTGGGGCAGGTGAGGCAGGAGAATCACTTGATCCCGGGAGGCGGAGGTTGCAATTAGCCAGATCGTGCCACTGCACTCCAGCCTGGGCAACAAAGTGAGACTATCTTCAAAAAAAAAAAAAAAACTCCAATGGGTTCCATTAACATCCTTTTTGTAGGTATCAAAGTCCTATCATGACCTACAGGATTTGCTGCTAGCCATTTCTCCAAAATCATCTCACAGCACCTGATCAATCTTCTCTAAAAATAAATCTTTCAGTAGTAAATAATTCTCCCCTGGTCTCATTATTTATCTTGTATAGAAATTTAGATTTTCATTTATTAGATTTTAACTTATTTTACATGTAACTTCCAATGAGGTTCAATTCAAAGTCTGGTTGGACTAAATAGCTAGTCACAATATCAAGTTACTAATGATTCTAAGCAAAATGCCAATACCTCCGCATCTTCATCAAGCTGTAATTGCTTGGCGATGGCTTCATCATTTAATCCAGACTCATTTGTATTTTGTGAAAGCTATATTTCAAAGAAAATCAAGCAAAATCAGCATAAACCTTAAGTGAAAAATAAGGCACTTTTTCTTTACTGCTGCTGATTAAACACACCAATGAGCGTTAAGTGTATCAGTAATAGCTGCAATGTACACCAGCCAGAAAGCCAAATCTACGACTACTCCCTGACCATATCCAATTCCCTAATAAATAAACAGCCTATAGACAGACCTGTCTCACTTAGTTCTATTGATATGTTCAAGAGAAGTACCAAAAATAAAAATAAAAATAAACCAATCCTGTAGATTAATGTCTTGGCTTGACAAGTAGTCCAGAACATTGGCAAACCAACATGTGAGAATGATTACATTGTACTATGGAGGAAGTGATCGAATCAACAAACACCCACGATGGGGCAGGCTTTCTTTAACTCAGGGGACTACTTTCACCATAATTTATGTGGTATGTCTGTTTCCTAAATGGCCAGAAACAGATGAATCCAATATCTGTCAAAGTAGCGAAGGTCAAAAGTGTAGCATTGGTATGCTGTATTTGTAAAGACTCTATTTATTATCTCATGTGGAAACAAATTTATTTCTAATATTGACTGGCTGAGGTCAACAGTAAAATGAGTTTGCATTCTGAGAACTCAATTTAAATTCGAATAATTACAATTTTTTCTTACAGCTTAAAAGATCTTTTCCTGCTTTCACGAATTAAAAAAACTAAATATGTAACATTCTAACTTCCTCATCCTTTAAAATGAGGGCAATATATTTTATCCATAATCATAGGAAAATTATTTTAATTATTAAAACATGTTGACCTATTTACTACATCCTAGTTTCTCCTGTTATTAATATTAGTGAATGGGTATAAATCCTGAGCATACTTGCTTATATGTAGAACACTCACCTCTTTTCTTTTGCTTGCCACCATCTTCTTATTAGATCTTTGGACACTTCCAGTTCCAAAATAATCAAGCACTGATGTGGGTGTAAGTTTTATTGGTGATAAAGGCTTATTCTTGGTCTTAGTGTTTTCTTCATTCTTTTTCATGTTTGATGTTCCAAGATGACTATTTGTAGATCTTCCATTCTCTTTTGATTTAGAGGCCGCCTTCTTACACATAAAGTCATCTTCTTCATCTTAAATGAAATGTAACCAAATATTTTTTATAAAACATCAATTCAGTTATACAAAGCAAACACTTCTACCAGCTTTATAAAAAGTATGTAAGAGGCTACACATGGTGGCTCATGCTTGTAATCCCAGCACTTTGGGAGACCAAGATAGGAGGATCATTTGCGCTCAGGAGTCCGAGACCAGCCTGGGCAACATCATGAAATTCTGTCTCTACAAAAAAACTATCAAAAAATTAGCCAGGCATGGTGGTGCACACCTCTAGTCCCAGCTACTAGGGAGGCTGAGGGAAGAGGATATAAACCCAGGAGGTTGAGGCTACAGTTAGCTGTGATTGCACCACTGCACTCCAGCCTGAACAACAAAGACCCTGTCTCAAAAACAAAATAAGTATACAAGAACTTTGAGATGCTAGTAACTTTTTTACCTTCTATCTCCTAAATTCAACCATCATCCCCACATTTACCAGTGCCAGGCCTGTAATACACTGTCTCCCCCAATTACTACCGAGAATACACAAATATTTACTGAGCACCCATTATGTACCAGGCACTTAAGATACAGCAGTGAATAAAAAAGACAAAATTCCCGCCCTCATGGAACTTGAAGTCTAGAAGAGGAAACAGATATACAAATAAACAAATACACATTGTCAAGTTAAATGTTCTATGAATAAAAAGTAAAACAGGGTGAAACAGGGTGAAAGAATTGAGTGATGAAGGATACTCTTTGAGATAAGGTAGTCAGGGAATGCCTCCTTGATAAACAACACTTTGACAGAGGCCTGAAATGAAGATACCTCAGGCAAGAATATTCGGGCAGTTAAAACTACAAAGGGAAAAGCCGAGATGGGAGTGTGCCTGGAGTTCAATGTGGCTGCAGCACAATGCGGAGGCGTGCCAGAAGAGTTCGAGTGAAAGAGGTAGGGGCCAAATCCTGGAGGACTTTCTAGGCAGTAGGAATAATTTTAGTCTTTATTATAGAATGGGAATCCACTGGAGAATTGTGAGCATAGTTTGTGACCCAACTTAAGGCCTGTCCTTTGAAGAACACACAGAAGAGGGGGGAAAGTAAATGCAGGGAGACCATTTAGAAAGCTACTGCAGTTCCAGATGAGATGCGGGAGGCTTGAACTATGGTGGTATTTGCAGAGGCGGTAAGTTGTCAAGTTCTAGCTATATATTGCAGGTGAACCATCTACTGATATCTAACCATTCATTTAAGACCATAAACTCTTTGTTACATTTTCTTTTTCTAAAAAGTTTCCACAAAACATCTTTTAAAAAGTTTCCCTACACATCTTTTTAAGCATTCATGACAATGTTTAGATAATTAGAAGCTCCAAAAATGTACCTCAAAAGGGTGTCAATAAATTTGTTTGCTTCAGTGATTCACAAAAAATAAAAATAAAATAAAGCTTTTCAATTTGGCCTATTAACAAAAGAAATCCAATAAAAATGAAAATCTAAGAGACAAACATGAAGTCAGGGACGGTAGCATAAACCTGTCATTCCAGTACCTTGGGAGGCTGAGGCGGAGGACTGCTTGAGCCCAGGAATTCAAGATCAGCCTGGGCAACATAATGAGACTATCTCTACCAAAAAAAATTAGCTGGGGATCACTTGAGGTCAGGAGTTTGACACCACCAGCCTGGTCAACATCGTGAAACCCCATCTCTACTAAAATTACAAAACTTAGCCGGGCAGAGTGGTGCACGCCTGTAGTCCCAGCTACTCCGGAGGCAGAGGCAGAGGGTGCAGTGAGCTGAAATAGTGCCTCTGCACTCCAGCCTGGGAGACAGAGCAAGACTCTATCTCAAAAAAAAAAAAAAAAAAAAATTAAGCTGGGCATGGTGGTGCATGCCTGTAGCCCCAGCTACTCAGAAGGCTAAGGTAGGATGAGGATCGCTTGAGCCCAAGAGATGGAGGCTGCAGTAAGCCTCAATTGTACCACTGCACTCCAACCTATCTCTAAAAAAAATTTTTTTAATAAAATTGAAAACAGGCTAGGTGCAGTGGCTCACACCTGTAATGCCAGCATTCTGAGAGGCCCAGATGGGCGGATCATTTGAGGTCAGGAGTTCAAGACCAGCTTGGCCAACATGGTGAGACCCCGTCTCTACCAAAAACACAAAAATTAGCCGAGCATGGTGGAATGTGCCTGTAATCCCAGCTACTTGGGCGTTTTGAGGCAGGAGAATCACTTGAACTGGGAGGCGGAGGTTACAGTGAACTGAGATTGCACCACTGCACTCCAGCCTGGGCGAGAGTGAGACTCCCTCTCAAAAAAGAAGAAAAAAAAACCTTTTTTTTTTAAATAAAAGACAACCATGAAGACTAGGTCATGGTGGGGATGGGGAACGGTTCACTTTATAAATTTGGTATGCAAAGCCACATATGAGTGGCTCTTATGTCCTCTCAACTGCTCCCTCATTCAACTATGAACATTTGCTCAAGGCCTTATGTCCCAGGCCCTGTGTTATCCTTAGGTGGCTGCCATTTCAAACATGAAAGTATCTAATGATACGTAAAAATTAAAAGGATTTAGCCTTACCTTCTAATTACTATATTTATATTAAAATGAAACTATAAATTTTGCAACACATAACTCTTACAGGTTTCTGATTACTAAAAATAACCCACTATTTAAAACAAGCACGTAGTAGCCAGTGCCCTTCACTACAAGCACATTTTCTCTAATAATTTACAGCTCACCCCACCCTCCCAAGGGCCTCCAAAAACCACAGATATATCCATCAGATGGCTCCACACTCTTGACCACAATCAACTAGACCAGGAGTGAGCACTTGAGCAAGGTGTGGCCGACTTTATCCTTGATTTGTTGAACCAGTATGTACAAACCAAGGTGCAAAATGTTTATTTCTACATTCAGTGAGAAAAGTTAGCAGGCTCCGAATAAATTCCCCCATTTTGCTTACACTAAAGTGTTTGCAACTGAAAGACTTAAATTAAAACATATTTGTTTCATTTGTCTTCAACTATAGTCAATCCACCATCAAGTCTTAATTAAAAATTTATCCATAACTCTTTCTAAAGCACATCCAAGGTCTGATACAATTAACAGATTTCAGTTCAACCATACATTACAAAGAGTCAACAGACTAGGTTCAGTCATTCAAATATCTGTTCTCCCTACCTAACTACCGGTTTTTCTCTGCCTCTTTGTCAGACAGGAAAAAGGCTTTGCAAAAGGCTAGGTAACATCACCATTCCATTTATAATAGCCATGTGGATCACCCATAATAGTCCTAGTAACTAACCATTGAGAATATAATCTCAAAGTCCTTTCCTTTTCTCTAAAATAATAACACAACGATCATGGTATTATAGAAACTCAAAGTTTTTATACTTGACAGCTGGCCAGTTATACCCAAATATGTCAAATTTCTTATCTTATTAAATTTTATAATCTTTATTTGCTTTAAGTTCAACAATTGTACTTCTGGGCAAGAGCGAGTCCCTTAATGGAGAAAGAACAAACTTAAATTATCTCTGAAATGATGGTGCTCTACTAGTTTCCCACCACCGTAAAAATGCCAAAAATACTAACATTCCATTTCCACTACACCTAGCCATGCTTATAAGCAGTATGACAGAAAACCCCATAGCTGA